TTCATAATTAAAATGTCGATGACCTGCTGGCACGGACGCTGTATAATGTCTCCGCTGAGCAGCTTACCAGCATTCTGTGAACACACCATCTAATTCAATCCCTGTCACAGAACCTGACTTTTCATCAACTCTGCGATGAGTGCGTCTCTGGAGACAAGCCCGCATTGTAAAATAATAATAATCCTTGCATTTGATATAGTCCCTCATCATTAAAATGGCTATTCCCCCCCCCCCACCCCCCCACCCCCCCCCCCCCCGGCTCTGGAACTGCTCAGCTCTGAGTTGTCACTTGCCAATGTTTATAATATTCATGATAGCAAATTGTGTGGGTTTAGCTGGTTAATCTCCAGCAGAGCACAACTCTGGGGTTCCCAAGTTAACCCAAGTCTCCAAGCTCCTCTTGCTAACCTGTCCCTAAACTCCCTGGAATTAGGTAGGCATGATGCACCCCTTTGGAGAGAGCGTATGCATCAGAAAGCAGATGTTCGTGGAACACCGGGAGTTTGGTTCAGAGGCTATGAGGCGTACTGGTGGTGATCTGTGTGTGTCAAACTCCCGGCTGACCAAAAAACATGTCAGATCTGCAATTGCTTCGTCATACGGAGGCTTGACTTGCTTGGGAAAAATCCTGAGGTCAGAGCGAATTGACCTGGTAATGTTCAGTACGTGCTCGGCCGTTGATGTTGTCATATTGTCGTGTGTGATCTCCACTTGACAGATAACAGTGGTGGAACTGTGAGGAAAAACAGAAGCAAGTCCCCTGACTGTCAGTCTCGTCCTTCACTCCTATTACTTGACAAGTGGAAATCAGCACAAAATATTTGAAAGATGGGCAGGGGAAGGGCAGGGCTCTCTGTCTTTAATACATGGATTCATTTGTATTCAGTACTTGAGGAATCTGATGTTACACCACATTTCTCTTCTTTCCACCTCATACCTATTCTCGCCCCTCTTTTTTAATCCTTTCACTTTTTCCCGGCAGTGAAGTAGGAACCTGGTTGTTAGTTGATTGCTTTTCTGGGGTAATAATCCCTCAAAAAAATATTCAATCCACAACTGTTGGGAGCAATTGACTTTTTTTGCCCACATTTGGCAATTTTGCCCACAAAATACAGTCAATTCACTTTACAATATATTCTGTGCTGACGTCTCAATGACATGATAAGGCGCTATATATCATATGCAAGAACTATTTTTATCATATTATTTAGTCTGTGATCTTTGCTCACACTCTCCTCCACAGGGCATCCTTTTCTGTTCTCTCATTTGCTCCTCTCAACATTCCTCCCTCGCTTCAATTACAAGGCATCATCCTGCTCACCGCATCTCCCTATGAAATTGAGACTATTTCGCCATCTCCTACTCTTAAATCTTCCCCCCAACCCCCCCAGGACCTCGAGACTTCCCTCCCTCAGTCTTCCCTTCCGCCTACGATTTGCAGGATTTCAAGGCTCGGCTTTTGACCCATGTCGTCACCTAACAAGCTCTTCGGTTTCTGTCCTGTTCTTTTACAACCTTGGTGGTCTCCCGCAGTATGGGTGTTGACCCTTGACCTAGCCTTCTCAATTAGGAAACAAACTGGCTCTGCCATCAGTCTGTGCAATAAAAAGTGAAACAGTTGTTACAAACTCATTCAGGAATAACTTTCTTAAGACCAGGCTCCTCACTTTTACTCACCCGCCACTGCACACACCCGTTCTTACATTGGGATTTCACAAAAAAGGTTCGGGCAATTTGATTTAATCCGTCAACAATTACCCACCCTACCCACCTCCCTTTACAACTCGAGCAGTTGCTTAAATGAGTTCAGTATCCTGGCCTTTAAGCACTGTCTGGATAACCTGGACCAGTTAATTATTTCACAACGGCGCATTTTTTATTATATACTTCAGTTTTAGGCATAACCTAAAATATTTGCCCGTTTTCTGGTCGCTCTAGTGGGCAACAGCATCTCCTGGTGTGGAACTGAATCGTGCAGACCAGGAAATATCCGGGGCTGGTTTCTTGTCTTGGGTGGGGCAGGAGTTGAAAGAAGGGCTACAATTAAATTCATCTTTTTTTTCCTGGATGGCACGAAAACCTAGGCACGTTTCTTTACTCCACACGCCTCTGTTTAGATAGAAGTAAGTTGGAATCCGGTTATTAGTTGATTGGTGGATCGCTTTCCGGGGGTAATAATTCCCCACCCCCGAAAATATTTGGTCACTGAATCCATGACTGTGGGACACTGCTATGCGCTGTTGGCTACCGTATTTCGCCCACAAATACACAGTCAATCCACTTCACAATGTGAAGCGCTTTGAGTCGTCTCAACGACATGATAAGGTGCTATATCAGATGCAAGGATTATTATTATTACCGTATTATTATCTTCCCTGGACTTGGGAGAGGAACAAGCAGCCAAGGTTTTCTTATTGCGGATCAAGTGATCAAGTTGCTGGAAAGTGGATTGGATTCGCTTTCCCATGGTCAATAACCTGCTGATTTCCTCTTTAGTTTCACATCTACAGGTCAGATCCTCTGACCTTTCATGCTGGATGAACATCTCAAAGTGCTTTTCAAAGACGTTGAGGATCACCGAGCAGGCAGCAAAGGAAGGGAAATTTGAGAATGTTGACCAAACAACACGGTCAGAGAGANTTTTTTTAAGAGGGTTTTGAAAGCCGGGAAAGAAGGTGAAAGGATTTGAGGAGAGAACACGGTCAGCCATGAGGGTGAGGCTGAGGCAGTGAGGATAATAATTGTAATAATAAACCTTGCATTTGATATCGCACCTTATTACGTCGTTGAGATGTATCAAAGAGTTTTGGAGAACATACTGTAATGTGAATTGGCTATAATTTGTGAGTGAAACAAAAAATATTTTTTAATTTTAGGGGGGGTTGAGTGCAGAAGAGCAATCAAGAGTTAATCAACAAGATCACTGAGGTGGGAAGGGCAAGATTCGCAAGAGATTTGAAGGTTAGGATGAATGTCTTGAAATCAATCCACTGACAGCCTGGTAAGGTTAGGGGTAATGGATACATGGAGCCTTTACAGGTATTTATCAATGCCATTGGGAGAAGAGAAAAATGAGGAGGAAATGATCTTGTGGTTGTTACTTATGCAGGACAGGATAGATTGCAATGGTGCTTGGTCTGTTGTGGTAACACAAGGGATCAGCCCAGATTGGCAGAAATTCACAAGAACCTGTCCAGCGCCCAATACTGCCTCTCACCCTATCTTGGTTTGACTTTTCTAAGCAGGTGCATTGGGGAATGAGCTGGATTGAGCGCTAGTACAGACTGGCATATCGAGCAGTTTTTCTCAACCTTCTTGAGTCTTTTGGGCCCTTCCGGTTCCTCCCAGCTTATGACTGGCCGATTTCCTGCACGTGCAGCACACAGGAAGCTGGCCAGGTCAGTCAGCCGTGACCCCCCACGTGGGCATTTTTAAGCGTTGAAACACTCGTGAGAGAAGTCACTTCCTGCATTTGTAGTGCCTGCCAATCATGCCCCTCTTATGTCTGTGGAAAAGGGGTTCAAAAACCAAACCCTGAGCCTCTGGTCTCTTACGCTCCTAAATTCCTTCACCTTGTACCTTCTTCCCCGATCTTTTACAGTATATCCTGTGAAATGCTTTGAAACATCTCAAAGATGTGATGAGATGCTATTTCAAATGCAGGGATTCTTATTAATATTATCTTAAAACTTACCTATTTGACTGTGCCTTTGGTTTATGGGCTCAAATTTCTCTCTTCCTGATCAGGGATCCCCGCTGACACTGTTAAGTGCTTTGAGGCACCTTACATGTACAGCGCTGGATAATTGCAAGGTGTCCCCATTGCTCTCGGGCCTGTGATTGCTGACGGCATTACCTTCTCGTCTCTGTCATTGAGATTCACTTCCCCCTTCTCTCTCTATCTCCACTAGATTCCTTTTGATTACCAAACCTTGTCCTTAATGAGCCCATCATGCAGAAAGACACTGGACCCTTTGTCTGCTGAATATTTCAATTAACATGGCTCTGTGAACGCACAGTTGTATTGCAGTGTTGGAAAAACCCAGTCTTTTGAACTCAAAACTACGTGAGATTTAACCTCCACTCGTGGAGTGGATCCCAAGTGAGTCATTTAATCCGTGCTTCTGACAGCAGCAAATTGGTGGCTATTTTGACTAGAATGTTGCAAATATAGAGCAATTATATTGAGGAACTGAGGACATTGATTTAGTGGAAGTTTGGCTTGTGTGTCAGCCTGGCTCAGTGGGAGCACTCACGTCTCGGAGTCTGAAAAAGTTGTGGATTCAAGCTCCACTTTGGGACTTGGAACCCATACGGAGTAGCCTGATAATCCACTGCTGGATCGGAAGTGCCATCCTTCACATGAGATGATAAACTGAGATCCTGTCTTCCTGCTCAGGTGAGCAGTAAGGATCCCATGGCACTATTCAAAAACATAAGGGAGTTTATAGGGGCTGGTAAATAGGAACTAGCTTGTAACTAGTTACAGTTTATAAATCCTCCTCCATTAAGTAGTACACGTAACTGAGCTGAGCCCAATCCAGCCCTCGGCAGATTTCCCCCCTGTGTATGCGTTCAAGGAAGAGTTGCTGGGTCAGATAGTAATAATAATCCTTGCATTTGATACATACAGCGCCTTATCATGTCTTTGAGACGCCTCAAAGCGCTTCACAGAATATACTGTAAGTGAATTGGCTGCATAATTTGAGGGGTGAAATTTTGTACTCTTGCTGACCTTATGTACTGGTCTAACACGAGGACGTCGACACCGATTTGTATTTGCCCACGTTATCTCGGGTGAGACCATGAGACTCGGGAGAGACCAGGAATTGACCAATGTGGCACCAATAGTGCACTTGCTCGCCGAGCCGTCAGAGAGAGCTCTGGGCTGTGCTTCCATTCTAAATGCAACTTTTTGTTTCAAAGTAAAGTCTTCGTCTCAATCGCTGCACGCCCGAGAGCCTCAGCACAATAGTGACACGTGATCGCTCTGCTTTCAGGTGCTGGAAAGGACGGCGGAGGCTCTGTGTGCGAGGACCATGGAGGAGGTGATGGAGAGCGGCAGCGGCGTTAATTGGCACAAGCGCTGTGTGACGCTGGAGGCCCAGCTCTTCCGCTTCCGCCTGCAGGCCAGCAAGATCCGTGAGCTGCTGGCTGAAAAGGTGAGGGGGGGTGGGGTGGGGACAGTGGGCAGCTTCTCTCCTTACCCTGACGTCCAATTCATAGGCCGAAAGGAAGAGGGTCGTAGGAACATAGGAGGTGCCAGACGATAAAAGACTGAGGTCCTTCCAATTTGCCTTCCACCATCCTGGCAGTCCAGTGACTGCCATCTTTTCCACGAAGGACCTTCAGCTTCATTTTCTGCCATTTTAGCAAAACTGTATTTGGTAGTCGGATTCGGGTCGGTTGCTGGAGTGGCTACTCGCTGAACATTTGTGTTTCATTGCTCTATCTGTGCACGTGTATTCCATTACTGTGGGCACGTGCATGAATGTGTGTACGTACATGGGTGTATTCCATTGCTCTGTGTGTTTATATAGCGTATAAGTCTGTGATATACTGTGCCACTCTGATAACGCATCTCTCCCCCCCCCCCCCCCCCCCCCCCCAACGCCCCCCAGGAAATGCCTCAAACGACTACTCATCAGAGTTGACTAGTTATCCAAAGTACAAATCTCAATGGTGCAAGGTACAAATTAGCGCAGGAAAGAAGTTTCTAGATTTCTTTTTAATTTTTTTTCTAAAAATTCTAAATGCTCACATAAGTCTTTCGGACATTTACAGTAGCTCATACACAAATGCAGAAACTGAACGGTGTACAATAACTGCATGGGTACATTCCCGGGCAGGGCAAAACCTAAGGCAAGTTTCCTTACTCCACACGCCTCTGTTTACCTAGCAGTAAGTAGGAACCCGGTTGTTAGTTGATTGGCGGATGGATTGCTCTCCGGGGGCAATAATCCCTCCAAAAAAAATTGGACAGATTATTACCCCCGGAGAGTAATCCACCTGGGAATCGAACCCGGATCTTCCCGCTTGCAAGGCAAGCACACTAACCAGTATGCCACGGTACTCCATGTGAGTCTCTGGAAGCAAACTAGCAATGAAAAAAGTGCTAAAGAGGTTGTTGGTAGTTCCAGGGTTGGAAGAGTTAACTCTCTGCAGTCACAAACTCACTGAACCCATTTACAGCTACTAATTAAACCAGTGTTCAAACAGTCTCAACTATTCAGTGTCTCTGGATCACAGAGCCAGCAGGTAGAGAGGCTGATTGCTTGGGGCAATCTGTCATTTTTGGTTCTTGGCCCGTTTCCTGGAATCCATTCACCACAGAAGCACACAAACTTTACAGATTCTTCTCTTCTTTCTCATACCTCGTCTCTCAGGGAATTGCTTGCTCGCTTCAGAGAAGTGGTCTAGAGAGTGTTTCTCCCGCATCCTACAAGAGTGAGTGAGTGAGGCGTGAGCTGAGGAGCAGTGAGGCATGAGCATCGGGGGAGAGAGATGGCAGATTCCTCCTTTTCAATTCGGTGCTAAGTACAGGTTGTTACAAGCTTTAAATCGTTTTCAATTCTCATGAATTGGAACCATATCATTGTACGTTTTTGAATTATTGTCACCCATTCATGCTAGGAGTTTGGATGAGATCACAACAGAAATAACTTGCATTCCTATATATAATATGTATATATAATAATAATTTGGTTGCTCAGTCCCATGACTGTTTGTGGGACACTGACATAAGATAATGTCTCAGAGTAAAGGCACAGTAAACGGGTATGTTTTAAGATAATAATCCTTGCATTTGACATAGCGCCTTATCATGTTGTTGAGACATCTAAAAGCCCTTCACAGAATGTACCTTAAAGTGGATTGACTGGATTTTGTGGGCGAAACGCAGCCAATTTCATATAGCAATGTCCCACAAACAGTCGTGGATTGAGTGACCAAAAATGGGTCAGATGTCGAGCACAGGAAGGAGTCCTGTAGCGTAGTGGTTAGAGCACTTACCTCACAAGCAAGAGGACCTTGGTTTGATTCCTGGGCAGGGTGAAACGTTGGGCAAGTTTCCTTACTCCACACGCTTCTGTTCACCTAACAATAAGTAGGAACCTGGTTGTTAGTTGATTCACGGATCGCTTTTCTGGGGGTAATAACTAACAAAAAAATTACATTTATATAGCGCCTTTCATGTCACGAGGATGAACTAATCCCTTTTTAAAAAAAATAATAATTTGGTCACTCAATCCACAACTGTTTTGCGGGGCACTACTGTGCACAATTGACTGCTGCATTTTGCCCACAAACTGTACAGTCAATCCACTTTACAGTATATTCTGCGAAGCGCTTTGATACGATTTGAAGATGTGATAAGGCACTATATTGTGGAGTCCTGTAGCTCAGTGGTTAGAGCACTTGCCTCGCAAGCGAGAGACCTTTCCTTATTCTACACGTTTCTGTTTACCTAGCAGTAAGTGGGAACCTGGCTGTTAGTCGATTGGCGCTTTTTTCCAGGGATAATAATTTCTTAAAAAAATGAATCGGTCACTTCAAATCCACGATTGTTTGTGGGACACTGCTGTGCGCAATTGGCTGCCACTTTTCGCCCACAAAATATACAGTCAATTCAATTTACAGTGTCGTGATAAAGTGCTATATCAAATGCAAGGATTATTATAATTATTATTATATACGTCAAAAGACTTCTAAACCTGGAATCCTTCGCATAGAGTTCCCAATGGGAATGTCCCAAGTAGCAACTAAAGAGCCTGACACCGGACACGGGTTGTGAAGCCTGCAACACATATGGAGCTCGTGTGTTGTTGCTGGCAGCTGTGACGTCCACCAGAACAGCTGCACGGGAGTTTGGCCAGCGTCGGGGCTGGCTGAAAGCCCACAGCAGGAAAGGTGATTGTTTTTTCATCCACATGCGCTTGTAACATTCTTATCCTGGAATGAATCTTACACAAATTCAACCCAAATGTTTGTAAATTCGAGCACAGAGCAGAATGTCAGCACGATGGCAGGAGGGAGTGTTTGTTGCCTTTCTGGTTTGGGGGTAGATTGCATAGATTATCCTCTTGATTGAGCTTGGCTTTAGCATTTGTGTAGACCACATCCACTTTTCAATGGGAAGTTTCCTGCCATTCGCAAGCATATTATGTGCCGACCCACAGTTTGCAATTTGACGGTCCTGGGGTGTGTATTATTCTGCCTGAAACATGAAGGACTTTTTATGGCTTAATGGTAAAGTCAAGGCAAAATCCACATCAAGAGGAAACTAGACGGGTATCTAAAAAGTAGCATTCTGGAGGAGTGTGGGGAAAGGGAATGGTGATGGTGATGGTGAATTGCAGCATAAAGAGCCAGCAGAGAAACTATGTGCCAAACGGCAGTCTTCTTTATCATAATATTTCATGTTCTATGGATACAGGTTTGCGGAGTCTTGTAGCATATTGGTTAGAGCGCTTGGCTCCCAAGCGAGAGGCCCCGGGTTCAATTCCTGGGAGGAAGTTTCTTTACCTAGCAGCAAGCAAGCCCCTGGATGTTAAATCGATCGGCGGATCATTTTTTCCAGGTGTAATAATCACTTTCTAAAAAAAAATTGGTCACTCAACCCACGACTGTTTTGTGGGAAACTGCTGTGTGCAATTGGCTGCTATGTTTTGCCCACAAGTCAGTTCACTTTGCAGTATATTCTGTGAAGCGCTTTGAGACGTCTCAACGACGTGATAAGGCACTATATCAAATGCAAGGATTATTATTATTATTACAGGCACTAGAATTAACTAGAGCACCACACCGTAGGGAAGGAAAAATCAGGAAGGATTGCTGCTCCTCATTGCTATCCAGAGATCTCCTGCTGGAAAGTGTGTGGCAATTGGGTGAGAACAGACTGTGATGTGTCCCCTGTGGTTAAACAGGCTGCCAACATTCCTTCTCAAGGCATATACAGGAATAATAGCAACTTAGATAAGGTTTTGCATTTTAAAGTTCAGCTGTGTTGCCATGAAAGTCTAAAACAACGAACAAGGTGGTAAAATAATAATCCTTTAATTTGACGTTTCACGTTGGGGAGATGTCTGAATGCACTTCACAGGATATACTGTGAAGTGTATTTTTCCTTCACTAGGGTAGGTATTGGTTAGAGTACTCGCCTCGCAAGCAAGTGGACCTGGGTTCGATTCCCGGGTGCTGCAAAACCTTAGGCAAGTTTCCTTACTGCACACACCTCTGTTTACCTAGCATAGCAGTAAGTAGGAGCCTGGTTGTTAGTCGATTGGCGGATCACTTTCCGAGGGTAATAATTGCTCCAAAAAAATAATAACTTGGTCATTCAAACCATGACTGTTTGTGGGACACTGCTGTGTGCAATTGGCACACTGCTGCATTTTGCCCACAAAATATACAGTCAATTAACTTTACAGTATATTCTGTGAAGCCCTTTGAGATGTCTCAATGACGTGATATCAAATGCAAGGATTATTATTTGTAGGAGAATGCAACAGACAATTTGCACCCAACAGAGCCAAGAGTGAGGAGACATTGACGGGAGCCGAGGAGGATAGCATCTGATCCGTCTTGGCCACGTTTAATTCCAGAAAATTTTGGCTCATCCAGGCCCTGATGTCTGACAGGCAGGTGGAGGGAACACTATCCAGTGAGTGCTTCCTGCTGGAATGTCACGCATGTGTTGAGAATGGGTGAAAGGATACCTCCCCAGGATCCGAGAACCTGTTTTTACTCATTGCTGAGAATCCAGGAGGAATGAGTAGGTACGAGGGGGCGTCTGGCACCAATGGGGAGAAAAAATTGAAGAGAAATTATAATCGGTCCCCTGCTGGGTCTGGCTAGAATTCCTGCGCTGATTGCTTCCAGATTCCCCTGGTGTAATTGGGAAGATCCATAACTTACTATAAATGATGAGGTGACACAGATCTGATGATTGTAATCACAGTAAAACGCTGGGTAATTCTCTCTGTGGTTTCTGAATGAAGTGGATCTGCCTCCACGGTTGCACTCAGCTGTCACAGCTCCCATTGAGCGTCCTGGGAATCGTTCCTCCCTTCTGCTCTGTGTGAGATTTAACTGCTCCTTAAAGTCGTGATCCTTTGCAATGGAAATCCCATTCTAAAGTCTTGCTGAAAACTACTAGTGACAG